TGCGGGCAGAGGAGTCTGCTCAGAGCTGGCATCTTGGACCCAGCTGGAGATGGCTGATCTCCTGGACAGTTGGGACCAGGAGGACATTCTTTGACAGTTCAAAGCAGGCCATCACATTGGGAACATCTTCTGAGTGATAGCTGCCCAGATGGCCAGGCAGGGACACACATGGTTGTAGTGCTGCACAAAGGCAACTGTGCAGCCACTGACGGCTGGCCCAGAGGGGCAGATGCCTCTACTGACTGTGCAGTCCCCATCTGGGTCTGGCAGGTGTGCAGCAGGTCACAGCCAGGCAGCAGCCCCCACTGCCAGACTGCTGCAGTGGGTAAAGGGTGCAGGGAACTCTCAGGGCCACTTCAGCAGTCCAGCTGGCACAAGGGGTAGTGTCCCCAGGTACCAATTGGCTATCTTCCAGAAGCACTTGAGTGCAAGTAGCCCTGCGCTACTTGCCAGGGCAGGTTTTTGTACTGATGGGGCCAGGACAGGGCAGCTTTTTATATTCCTGGGGACAGCACAAGTGCTGGCCCTGAGCTCTAGCTCCCCCTGGCTGCAGATCCAGGAGGAGCCAAGCAGGATTATTTTGCTCCAAGTGGCACAATTTGCTCCACAACAAAGTTCATGTCCAGGCACTTGCGCTGAGGCAAAAAGCCTTGGCTCAAATTTGCACTGCTTCTATTTCAGCTGGTACATGTGCACATGCTTGCATGTTTGGATGTGCTCCATGAGTCTTAGTTTCCAAATTTTTTAGCAAAAATAAAACTTTTTTTTAAAAATTTTAATAAGTGGTACATCAAAAACATTATTTCCCTAGCTTTCACTCTCATTTCTTTTTAAAATGTCAGGGGAATGTAGAAAATAGAATTAAGGGCTTCTGGCCTTTTACAGTATTTGTACACTTAAATCTTGTCAAGCTCCAATTTATACAGCATCAAAATCTGTATTATGCATTCTAGTCAGTAAAAATATGTGCTTATTACTAACTTATGTCAATACTCTCTCAAGTCTACTTGAACAGTTTTTAAGAGAAGAGTATTTGAGCAGTCTGCAGAGGTTTTTCAGTGATTATCTCCTGAGATGAATTTGGCTTGCAAATTCCAATAATTCATAAGTCTAGTTTTTTTATCATTCCTCTTAAAATAACCACTCAAATTTTGAAGTTTTATATGCAGAGACAGTCACAGGGATGGTATTATCTATCTAGAACAGTGGTTTTCAAACTTTTTTCATTTACGTACAGACCTCTAAAAAGTTCTGAATAGAGGTGCAGACCCCTTTGAATTGTAAGTGTGGGTATTCACATACTTTTGATTGATCATAGTCATTTTTTTGTGGATCCCTTAGGCATGGTCTGTGGATCCCCAAGGATTCGTGGACCACAGGTTGAAAACCACTGATCTAGAGAATCAAATAACATATTTTAAAAGCTGAGCTTTTATGCAGGTAACCTGCCCAAAGAGCATAATATGGACTTTTTGTACTGCTACACTATTTCTGGAAATGTATTACCATAAGTTTAACTTCAAAACAGGTTGACAAGTTAATGCTGCTGGAGACCTGATTAATTTAACAGCTGGACTTAATTTAATTCTTCACATCTGTACTGCTGTTAATAGTGCTCCTCATTCTCATTCTGATCTTCTTTTATTGAATAGTGATTGTGATTCAGGTTTGGGGATCCACAGGAAAAATATCAGCAGAAGTCTTGTAGTTTTGTCAGATAAAACAATCCAGAAGGAAAGAAGGGTGAAAGAATTGGGAGAACTCCTTTACTGAAAATTGTTAAAGAAAGGGTAGGATTCAGTCCACTTATATTAGTCTTTAAGTAAAATAAATATAAAATTAGCCAGAGTAAAAACACAAGTACTTGACTAGACCCTAAGTGTTACCTGCAAAGCTGACCTGAGCAGGGTGTGGGGCCCAAGGCAAAACAGCCCATGTGGGACCCCACCCCCACTCCCATCCCATGGGCCCCAGTCCAAAAGAAGCTGCTGCTGCCAATGGCGGCAGCAAGATAAGA